AATTGCACAATGCGTTGTTGCTCTGAATACGACTTTTCTCTTGAGACCCGTTGAAAGCTATTTACAATGGTCAAATCGTCAAATCGATTGAACGTTATCCTCTCGTTTAATCGATCAGTTCGAAGTGTATCCGTGTATGTGTATGTAGTCGTGTCGAACCTATAACACATGAGGGGCACCGTACCTTTGAATGGGGTTGGTGAATATCCAAAAAATTATAACTCGATTATAAATTATAAACATGAATCCATATTTTAATATAAATATATTATTGTACGTTCATTATTTTCTAATTTCCGAATGATATTCGGTTGTTTTCAAATATTTTACAATTAACTATTTTATTAATAATCTTTCTATTTAAATTAACTTATATTTATATAATTGATTATTAAACTTACATAATCATTTCAATTAACATAAATTATTTCATTTTTCTATAAATAATATTTATCACATTAACTGACTATACTATATGGATTAATTCAAATCTGAAAATTATTTCACTTTTAGTGAATTTTATACATATAAAGTATACTATATACTAAAATACTTGAGCAATATTTTTATTTTTATAATAAAAAATCAATCTGATGTCAACTGATGTCATCACCATTAATTCAGTACATTATGTTAAGATACTCATATAGTTATAATATGGGTGGCTTGGAAAAAATGTCATAAGTAGATACTGATTTATTTCGTTAAATAATTCATCAGCATAATATTTTAACTCAGAATAATGAACTTTAACTTATTTAGAGTTAATAAAATATTATTTCTAATTTTTTCCATTATATACTTTTCTTTATTTGTTTTTCTTTAACAAAGTTCGAACAAAATGCAATTGTACTTCGTAAAGCCCTAGAGCTCCATAAAAATACTCTAAACCTTTGGGGACTCAACAGATACATTTGAATTAAATAAAATTCAGGTATGCTATAATTAATTAATTAATTACATGTATGTAGGTTATATATTATACAATATCATTGGGATTCTACGGTTACAAAATAACTTACTAGAAATCAATATTGATAATTTTAATAATCGCCAACATTTTACATAGGTAAGCATATAAATTATAAAAATAAAACTAAAAACTATATCACCAATACGTAATTTTTTATGAGTTGCAGTTTAAAATTGGCATTCCTGATTTTTGGGACTCAAAAGATTTTTTTTTAACCACAAACAAAACAAATTGAGAACTAACACATAACATATAAATATACGACCACCATTAGTTTGCGGACGACGGTGAACCTGTGTTATAAGACTTTTACAAGTCCACGACAAATCGAAAATCTCGTCGAACCCCGTAAACCTGATGTCCGGTATTGTTACGAAAACAGCTTTTCTCTTTCTCGTAAATACTGCATGTAATACTGAGACGACTCAGTATTATAAACATTACTCGTGAAAACTTTATGCACTTCCAGTGGTGTATACGTGTATACATTTTAGCGTATAGGGGAGACCAAGGTTGGTTGGCTTACTTTTTATACTTGTATTTTTAATTCTTTGAGTTTTTATGATATTAATGTTCAAACTACACCAAATAGTTCACTAACATATAAGCTACATAATTAATTTAGGTTATTGTCTTAATCAGCAATCTGTAATTAGAAAAAAAATAATGCAAAAAAAAGTGTGAAGCCAAGTTGTTCCATTGGTGAGAAAAGTTGGCAATAGCATGTTGACGCACATACAAAAATTATTATCATGGTATTTTTTATTTTACTTGTTAAATTAAATTAGACTTAATTACTTGTTTGAATCCTCAACGTGTCACAATTTTATTTGGTTTTTGAATAGTTTTTATACCATATTATTTATATCACCAGGAACAAATTTGTAACGAGTTAGTACGGTTTTTAAATTGACAAAAAAAAATTATGCATTAGCTTTGTTAAAACTAGAATCATGGGATTAACTAGATACTTTTAGAGTATATATTGACCGATATGTGCGACATTTTTAAAAGTAGTAAACCAATCCTCATCAGCTATTTTATTTTCAAAGTTTTTGGGATGTTAGTTTTATTAAAGATACGAGCATACTCTCAAATGCCAATTTTCTAACTTTTTTTGGAAATAATCCAAAATAAATATCAGTTGTTTTCTAAATATATTATTATTATTCTGTAGTTGAAAAAATTTATCTTGGTTTTTTTGTATCTAAAAAAATTATCAAATATTTCAGATTTTTGTTTATATTTTCGGTCAAAGTAACGAGATAATGTTTTAATATGTATACCAAAATATTCTGATACATTCTTACGTAAATGATTTTCAACCATTCTTTCTTTTGTAATTTTAAACCATCTATATAAATTAGTTAAAATAATTGTAAAATATATTTAAGTAAACAAGTACCAATTTTAGAAGGTCGACTAGCCTCATATTTTCATTATTTTGAAACAATAATAAATATTATGTACATAATTATGATAAAACTATAGTTAAACCATATTTTACATATCTTCTCTAATATATATCAATGTATAGCATTTTATTTATTATTGTACAACTTTTACATATTCTGATATTTAACACATTCATTGTATCTGATTGAATTTATAACGCATTAAATGTTTTAGTTTCTACTAAAGCATCTTAGATTATTTTTTTGACTCAACACTTGAATGAGAAACAAAAATAAATTAAATATATTATTATAGCCAATGAAAAAAAATTAATTCATCTCACTTCCCTGTCATCTGTCCAAAATTTCCGATACCTAGGTCCTCTCTTAAACTGTCGAGTAACCTGGGCAACCCATACCTATACCAAATTCCTTTCTCTAAATAGCCAACTACGTCTTTTGCTGACTTCCAAACACGTTAATTTTAATAACAATCTACTCCTCTAAACAATATGGATCTATGAAATTTTTCTATGGAGTGTTGCCAAACCGTTTAACATTATTATTATTAAATTAAATTAATTAAATCAATTAAATTAATTAAATTAATTAAATTAAATCAATTAAATTCAAACATTTCAGTCCTAATTCTGCCACCAAATAACCAAAGCGCTATGTTTTGTCTCAAATGACATCATTCACAAACATCTTTCAATTCAACCAAAATCTTTCGCAAACGTTTTTACTCAAGTTTAATAAATTATTGTGACCACTTGATTTTAGGACTGTTCGTTTCCATTATTCCCGGTGATCCCAGAAGGCGTCTGAACGTCATCGTGACTTATTAAATAATTAAACTCCTTACGTACATATCATGAAGTTCCATCAATAGATGGTTTTCTCCCTAAGTCTCTAAAATCACAACCAAATTTATTTTTTATATTATTTTATATTTTATGTTAACTTTATTACACTTGTACTTATTGTCAAACTTATATTTACAGCAGATACTAGAACCGAACCGAAACCGGAACCTGAACCTCGATCAAAAAAGGTTTCAATTTTAAGCTTTAAAAGATTACATTCTTATGATATATCATATATGTATTATGCATTACACATTTAAAAAGAAAGGAGTATAAATTTAATATATTAATATGGATTATGTGATACAGTAATATAAGTTAAAAAAATCTAAAAGATCAATTATTAGTATTCGTCAAGAGATTATTTGAGAAAATTGGTTCTAAAGATACTACAAAAAAGTAATGACTAAAAACTATTTATATTTGTTTTAGCGCTAACAAAGATCAAACATCATATTCACAGCTTTACATAAAATAGTATCGTGTCAAAAATATTGCTCACCAAAACTAAAATAAAAATAATTTTTTTCCTCTTATTTAAATATTACCTATGCATTGGTATAATTTTTTTTAAGTATAATACATTTTATTTTGAAATACAACAACATCTTTTAAATTATGTTTTGACTTACATAATACTATAACATTTTTATGGTTTTGTGATGTATATAATTATCTGCATTATTTTTTATTTATAATTTAATTACACCAACACTTTTAGAATTTGTCCTAAAAGTTAAAACCAAATGTGAAGTATATTATAATAACTTTAGGGGTTTGTGATGAACAACTAAACAAAAACAATTATTTTTTGCATTTATTTAAATTAATAGAAAAATACTCACTAGTACCTACAATTTCATTTCATAATCAAAATAATATTGAACTATTTTGGTAAAATTAAAATTTTTTATAGAAAAATAAAAATATTATACGTTTTTTTTCCGCGTTAACAAAACAAAGGAGGAACCGGTTACAAACTTTTTAACCGGATCCGGAACCCAAACCAGAATCGTAAAGGTTCCAGACCCTGATCTAAAGATTGTTCGATTACAAATAAAAGATGGAAAAAAATTATTATTGTATTATTATTATTTAGTATAAATATTCAGTAGTGCGATCTCCAACTTAGTATTTCGATGAAACGATGTAGAAAATTTAGTGGAATTATAATAAAACACTGGCCCTTTGTTCGGTTTCTAGAAGTTCTAAAAGGGCATCAGGCTATCACGTTACGAATTTCAACCTCCAACATTTAGTCCGGAACACTTATCTAAGACCTATACGTTAGGTGATCAGGGGGGCCGGTAGGTGGGTGGGGGGAGATATATTCCTAATATAATCCGCCGTACGTTTCAAAACGACTTATTGCTCGTTTTGTCGTTACTCGCTATCGCATAATGCACCACGGGTTTTGCGAACACAATAATAATAACAATAACGTTCCCTCCTCCCCCGGGGGACCTTTATGTCCAAAAGTCCTGTGCGAACGCCTCTGCACGCACAACGCGATTACGACGCGGTTTGACAAAACGTCGAGTGGGCTACATGGTGGTATTATACACTCCGTACGCGGTGTTCTTGTGTCGGCGCGACCAAAGTTTGGACACACACAAGGGCGCGCGCACGCACGTGCGCGTGGGTGGTATAAGGGACGTGCGGCGGTTGGGCTCGCGCGGCTCCGGAGAGGGTTTGAAGTCGCTCGTAGGGGTGTGCAGGGGGCGGAGCCGGTGACCGTCGCGCGTATATAACGTGTTGTAGCGGAGTGCCGAGCCGCACACGGCATTCGAAAACAAAAAAAAAATTAACCGTCGGCTAACCCTGCGAGATCTCGTCGTCGCACGCACGCAGCACACACGCGAGTCCGCGAAAAACCGTTTTCATCCGGCGCGCGCGTCCTCACCTCCGAACACACCGCCCGACCGCCGTCGCCGCCGGTGTTTCCATTCGAACAACACGTCCGTCGTCGTCGCGTTCCCGACCGACGGGCCGCTACGCACGGCAACCCGACGACACCGCCCGAGCGCAACAGGCCGCCGACATCGGACAACCGCCGCGGGCGCGACGCACATCCAGAGCCCGGACGGACGGACGGACACGGACTAACGGCGCGCGCGTGCCCGTCATAACGTACGTGCCGGCGAACACGGAACAACGTGCGCACACGCGTCCGGCAGCAGATCAACGGTTGTGCGCCGTCCCGTCGTATCCCGCGACCCGGACACATAACCCTGCAGAAAAGGTCGGTATTGCACGCGTGACGGGCGGACACTCGTTTGCGCGCATATTCAATTACATGTATATATATATATATACATATGTGTGTGTGTGTGTGTGTGTGTTTTTGATTTTTTAAGTTTATAAAATTTGCGAAAACCAGCTGCTAGGTACCACGTTTGGGTGTCCGTGCACCCTTAAGAGCATAACGTCCGATTTTACTACCCATTACGATCGCGCGCGATTACCGTGCTCGCCGAGTGCACGGAATGCTAATTGTAATTATGTTCTACGTTTTATACGATTGTAATGAAAATAATTTTTTTTTCTTTTTTTCAATCGATGAAATCGTAAATAATGGCGCTCGTTAAGGAAGTTATGCTAAATTAAATAGCTCAAACAACGTTTTTAAACCCGTCGGTCCATGGCACCAGAATACGATTGGACGGAAAGTGCCAAACCTTATAAAGAGCGAAGGAAAACGTTGTACGAGTATAATAATTTTCCACTATCAGTGACTAGGACTCGGATTTTGTATCAAATTAAATCCTTAAAAAAACATTTATTAAATTAAATATTAAAAAAGAAATCTTCGACCAAATTTTTGGTCAAGTTATTCTCGTTAAAAATCATTATGTTTGATGCTAATATGTTTTTATAGATGAAAAATCACTTTTCCACATCAATTAAAGTAATTGGTGCGTATTTCATATAAACTTAATCGTTTAAATCATACTGGTCCACATTAATGTTTAGTGAAATGCCATTTTCACATTTTAACTGAATTTTGTTTTTTTTTTCATTTTCAACTTTTAACATTTTGACGATTACATTTTATAAAACACTATATCTCTCTGATTGATATTTACCATATTTTAACGTGCTATAAAAATACGCAGAAATAATTCAGATAATTTTCCATTTCCTCAAGTCGCAAATAAAACTTTATGTACGGTAATTTTGATAAAAGTTTAATTTTGGCACAGTAACGATAATTATTTAATTAGTTATCCATTTATTACTGGTTTTTCACTAGTTTTATGATTTCTGGCAATAATAATATCGTTGAAGTATACCTAAAAAAAATATACACATAGAAATATGTTAAATTTTCGTGAAATATATGGAAAAATTAAGAAAAAAATTACCGAATGGAAAAAAAGCAAAATAAAGTTTACTTCATTAAAATCAGAGCAGTCCAATATATACGTATTATGTATATATGTATTATATATAAATACATGCAAAATAATTATCTTTCTATCACAATCCCATCAAAAGAAGTATTTGCTATAAAATCCGAGCCCTAGTAATGATTAATTCAAAAATTTGGAGAGGTACGCAGGTTATGTACACTCTATACGTGGTTAAGTTGTTCTGAAAGAAGGTTTCTATTGTTCGTAAAGTGTGCGCAAATGAATTGTAAAAAAGCTAAATGTATGCATATGAATTATACGAGTAGCCAAAACAACGCCGTATTTATTGGTTTTGCAATAATTTAAAAAAAAAAATCATATCCACCATATAGTTACGCGTCGGGAGTTATCTGTAATGATCGCAGGAGTTGTAAAAGTGTACAGGGATTCTCGCGTCCGATTTCTAAACGTTATTCGCTGACCAAGACTAACGGCACGTTCTGTTTATTTGCACATCGTCAACGATCTTGCATCGTACTGTTTTAAAAAAAGTTCCACTGATTGTAGTCCGCGTACCGCTCATCACCCGATACATTACAGTGAATAGCAGTAAGATAAATAAGTACGTAATGATACTGTATGCAATGTACAGACTACCCGGTAGAAGTTAAATGATCGAGTGTTATAGTAGTCCGTTTAGTCTCATTGGTACGTGCATGAACACGAACGCGGCCTTCCGGTACTAATATAATTTTTACGCGTAATACGACGAGAACGGAAAAATAATGTAAAAAATGTGTTAAGATTGTTTTTTCTTTCTAATAATATAATAACCGGGTATAAGTTATTATCTTATTGTACACGATTATGTTAGTTGTAAAGGCAATTTATAGTGTTTAAAATTTCATAAATCTGTTCGCAACCAAACCACTTCTTATATCCGTATGGATTACGAACAAATCGTTCAACATCATCTTTATTTTATTTATTAATTTGCATTCACTATAAAAACATTCGGATAAAAATGTATTAAATTATTCCACTGAAGTTACGCGTCTTTTAAATAAAAACTGTTCTCAATCGTTTTCGAATCCTAGGTACTATTTATTTTTCAATAAATTAGTTTGAAAGATTGCGAACGATACATAGACGCAGCAATATTTTTCTATTCCGACAAATTAAAAAACGACTAACAAAATAAGATAAATATAAATGTATGAAAATCTGTATAATGAAATAAATTATTGTAATTAAGCATCAACATATTTCACAATATTCAAAAATGTATTTTCATTAAAACTTTATAACGCGCAAAAAAATACTACAAATTAAATGCAAATATTAAAAAAAATATTTCTCAATCAGTTCGTAGTAAATTTTTATGTATCATGTAATAGAAACTTTTTTGTAGTAAAATCTTAAATATTAAACATAAAATATTTACATTATAAATGTGTTAAAATACACTGCATATGATTCAGGAAGTTAAACATTTTCTGTAGTCATAAATATATCCATGTCCTACTTTCTAAACACAAAAAGTTTGTTTTGTGAAATGTCCGTAACATTTTTCTATCTATTGAAATACTCTTGAAAAGAACAATAATTATTTCATTATACGCTTAACTACAATATAGTAACAATGCAAAATATAAATCAATTATAAAATAATTAAGATAAAAAATATCACAATACTACATGTGTATACTTTATGAAATAATTATGTCATTTAAATTATATAATAATAGATTTCAAAATTAATTTTGAAATATTATATTGGATTAAGATTATTTTGTATAATAAATTGAGACATACTTACATGTTGAAAGAATTTTTTGTTATGTAATTTTATAGTTAATCGAATAAGTGTTTTCCGTCTAAACGATCGAAAAAAAATTATACAATTCAGTATAGTTCAACTTATGATCATAAATTTGCTGTTTAATTAATTTAACTAAATGGTATTAATTCACTAAATAATTTGTTAATTTTGAATAGCATTGATACTTCTCAGAGTCCGTGCAACTCAGCCATATAAATACGAATATACTACTATATCACAGACGTTACAACTTAGAGTAATTAAAGAAAATCCTAGTGATAAAATAGTATAATATATATAAATAGTGATGAATAATTATCATTTTCTACGAATACATAACGGTGCAAAAATTCATCAATTCATTGTAATGATTTCAATATTAAATATTTTTACCTCTTATTCCATTTAAATTGAATATAGTACAATTCATTTTACCATTTTAACTTATTTCGATCTGTACGATTTTTAATTCAAACAGAAAACAATCACAATCGACCGTTAAGATAATCTCACTTTATTCCACAAATGCGTGTAAAAATGACAAAATATCCATAGTATTTTTTATTTATTTTTTTTTGATTTATTTATTAAAAGAAAAGTGGATTATTAAATGCAAATATTGTAGTTCTATAAGTAATATATATAGTAGTTAATATAAATATAGGAATACAAGAAAAAAAAATTAACATTTAAGTAGAGGAAAAGAAAGAGAGAGAGAAATAAAAATAATAAAAATACAATAATCGTATTTAGAAAACATTGACAAATAAATATTACATAATAACCAATTCTTTAACATTGCTAAACTGTCGCGATGATAATCAAACTTCTGAAAAGAGTTACATAAAAGTAGCATACGGTTGACAGAAGAGTTATGACTGTAATTTTGCTACTGTGCAGATATATATAAATATATTATATTTTTACCACTCCTTCACATCTTTATTTTCAACTTCAATACATCACATGTATTATTCGTTTCTTTATTTATTTGGCTTTTATTTTATATGGAATTAAAGGATCTGCTTTATAATTATGTAAAGAAATATATTTCATGTTCGGTAAAATAATATTAACGAATCGAATGCGTACTCAGAGTTTTCTTTATGGGAGCTGACCCAAAGGCTGACCCAAAGGCATCGATGTTACGCGAGACTCTTGGTATTTACAAGATTTATATATAATATTGTATTATAACTGCCGGCAATGTAAGAAAACCAAAAATAAAACAAGCTATCCTCAGATTAATAATAGATGAATCATCATTATTTTTTGGTATAGTCACCGCAAGAATAAAACTTAAACATAAGTAAATTTAATTTAAACTATACTCGTTCCTATATAACAAATATGGAAAGATTACAATTTTTATTTTTGTACCTAACATACAATTTTATATATCTGGTTCATACACGTAAAGTTAATATTTTTATTATATATTGGCTGAAACCTCTTTAAATACCTAAATCACTAATAGTGGATACGTAATTGTAGATATATTTAACTGAGTACTTAAATTCATTCATATGCTATCAGAAAAATATTATGAGTTCCAAACTACAAATGCTGCGACATATATTTTTATATTAATTATGATTTATGTTTTATTGCTGGAATTGTATTTTTGAATTTAAATAGTCTTAACGCTTGTAAAAATATTAATAATATGTATGAAAAATAAATAAATAACGTATTTTGAGTCACAGACGAATAAAATGAATATAAATTAACATTTCGTATTCAAAATTTAAATTATTATTTCAATACAAATTTACCTACTATCTATGTATATATTATATTTGTATGATATACATTTTTAGAATTAAGATTTATAAAATGCAATTACAAAGGTGGATAGTATTAAAATGTTAATTTGAATCGACACAAATAAAATCTTATTAAGAGAAAAATGATAATAATAAAACAATAAAAAACATATCTTTGACCAGTAATTTATTCTTGAAAATAATTTTAAATTATTGTGTTATAGTATATTTTACATTTCATATTATTTTTTTCATAATAAATTAGGCTTTCACTCGCAAAACATATATTTTGATCTGTCAT